CATGTTTTCGGGGACCACTTTAGCTCCCTTAGTCACTGCTTATGGCAGTACCTGGTTTCTCAGATCAAGCTGAGGAAAAAAGAAACCACTGGCTTCACAGTATGACAAAGTTTTATAATAATTATGCTTGAAAAGGAAAACCTTGGCATTTGGTTACAAGAAAGAATTGATCACTATAAAGCACCCTCCCATTCAGCCTTTTATTAACCAATTTATTTAGTTTTCTGAAGATTGATATGCCCAGATATATGTCTATCCTGTTTACATAAGGGTATATTAAAAATAGAAATTTCCTTTGTATCAGGATTAAGTCAGTAGTTGCACATAACAAAAGAAAATACATGACAACTTATTAAATCTTACATTTCTTATCTTTTCTGTGTTTATTTCTTTTAAATGTTTAGTACTTACTCATTTAGTGCATACGTGTTCGTGTATATGTTGTATGTATACCCACACACAAGCGTTTGTGCCAAAGGACATTTGTGTATAGAGTATAGCTTGCTGAGTCAGCTTTTCTCTTTACACCCCTCAGGTCCTGGGGATTGACTCCGGCTCTCAGGTTTGGTGGCATGTGTCTTCACCCACAGCCATTTTGTAAGACAGGGTCTCATATAACCCAGGCTGGTTTTAAAGTTGCTATATGGATAAAACTGATGTAGAATTCCTGCCCCTCCTGCTTCGACCTGCTAAGTACTGGAATTGCAGGTATGTAGCGACTCACACAGCTTAATACCACATTTCCCTTTGTAAGATTTCCAACAGAAGCCTGAGTGGCCTGTGGACATTTACAGCTCAGTGAGTACAAGACTGCTGGTAGGTCACAAATAAGAAGACACAATTTTCACAGTTTCAAGAAACTTCTCTAGAGTACCCATATAGCTACCATAAAAAAATGTATCCTAGTTCATCCAAAGATGGGAATTCTCTCCAATGGAAAATGTAGGCTAAGGGTGGAGGGTGGCCTCACTTATGTCATTAATGCAGAAGATGATAGGCAGCTTTTGGTTAACAAGACACAAGTGGACAAAGAAGGGTGTGAATCCATAGCAAACTGGAAAGCATGGGATACGGAGTAATTTATCCAATCTATATTCTCAGTCAAAATGCTTATAATAGAGTGCACCGTTCATTGGGAGTAAGCCAGGGCAAGGGAAAATCCACCCACACCCACACAGGACTGCTGATAAGGACAGAATTGGAATCATCACAGCAAAGTGTCTTTCAAAACAGGAATTGACTGCTCTATGTGGGGAGGGCAGATTTTCACATTGCATTCTAAAAATAATGGGAATAGAATTCGGACGGAGAAACCCTTACAAAGGGCATGTGTTTGGGAGGGGGGGATGCAGATTTTAAAAAAGATAGAATTCCTGAGACAGAGGGTACTGGATCTGATCCTACCAAGAAATTCTCACATCCCCTCTCCCCACTCCCGCCCCAAACTTAGTTCCATAAAAGTTTCTGTAAGCAAACAAAAATCTGAGAATGAATGAATCCAAGTCATTTGAGAAGAGCTGCAGGTGGCGTGGGGGAGGGTGTGAGGGCTGGGGGGGGGGACGGGGGACAGGGATGGGACAGAGAACAAGCTTCTGTCCTCCCAGGTTCAGTGAGGAAATTCCAAGAAGCTAGTAACCACATATTAAGAAAACACCTTTTTCAAAGCGTAAGATCAATCAATAGAATGGGATCCAACACATCTGATGGAGAATGGTGCCGGCTCTGAGATAAAGCAGAGCAGATTCCTGGGAAACAGCGCCCGGAGCAACACAAAAAGCAGAAGATTCCACACATCTTTCATTTCTCTTGCTGAGCCTGCGAAACTCAAGACATTCATTTTCACGTGATGTTTTGCAGAACCTTGGCAACGTCTCTTACACGCTCCTTAAAGACAGTGTGCAGGGGAAACGCGCACGTGTGTATGCTTGTGTTCACAGTGTGTCTGAGTCTTGTCACTTCCAGGTCCACAAAGTGTGATTTTTGAGAGTGAAGATACAACCTCCATATTCCACTTCCTTTCATGTGGTCTGCTAGTTCCATGATTTAATATGTGAATGGCTGGTGACAATGCAGCGAAAGCTATCAGGGCAGGCATAGGAGAACGTGTGACAGTGACTGGTACAAGGGTGAAATGTCTTATGTGTCTTAGGAAAACAGTACGATGCATAGAAACTGTGGATCCCACGTGCCTGCTTTCAACCAGTGAATCTCCCTGAGGCCGTACTGGACTTCAGAAGTGGCCTGTGTGGTGGGTCACTGTTGAGCTTTGAAAAGCCAATGTTGAGAATAAATAAGGCACTAAGTTAGTTGGTAATGGAGCAATCCAAAACGTATCTCAAATTGTGTTTGGTCTTCATTCCCTTGGAGAACAGGTCCCAGAATATTCATGGGAAAAAAAAGTGTAGGACAGTAGTCACCCTCTTCATATTTTCCAGCAGGGTATAGCCCTACATTATAAGTAGCCTTGGGGTTTTTGTTTCTGTTTTATGTTCTTTCCCTCTTGAGAAATACATCCTAACTACTAGGAATGGGAAGAATGGAAGCTAGTTATCTATCCAGCAGAGAAGTCTAAGAGGAAAAGGTCCCCTCTGTGGGAGAGTACCCCAGTGAAAGAGAACAGCCTCCTGAACTGAATGTTCTCTCAGAAGACAGACAACATGGGACTCTATGCACAGGACTGGCTTTCCTTGGTGCTGCATGGTGGGGTGAGGTGCTTAGCTGTGGTGGCACTGAGCCATGGGTTACTGGGTCAGGCAGGGCTCCACTGAGGCTGGTGTATAACAGACATCCTGAGAGTCTTCCAATCAGTCCATAAAACCTGATACTCTTAAAGCACGGCTGTCTCCTCACATGCTCTCCATCTCTCTCTGTGTTTCTGTTTGTTTCTGTTTCTCCCTGTCTCTGTGTTTCTCTCTGTCTGTTTTTGTTTCTCCCTGTCTCTGTCTCTTTCTGCATTTCTGTTTCTCCCTGTCTCTGTGTCTCTCTCTCTCTCTGTGTCTTTTTCACTGTTCTTTTTGTTGTTGTTGTTGTTTAGATTTTGAGGCAGGGTCTCTCTCTATAACCCCAGCTGTCCTCCAAAGATCTTCCTGCCTCTGCCTCCCAAGAGCTGGTATTAAAGGTGTGTACCACCATGGCCGCAGACTCCTCCAGATCTCTTGACTTGTTTAAACACCCAGTGAGGCAAGAGACAGAAATAACAGGAAGGAACTGGGGTGATCAGTAGGACTGGGAACATTCTGCATTCAGTGAGCCTGGGTAAGGAACTCTTTTTGGCATAATTAAAACCAAATCTCTGGAGATGAAAGTAAACAAATGAGATTATTTATCCTTGCTCTAAAGACACATGTACACACTGGTCGTTAAGGTCCATTTGCACAGCATCTCTGTGTGTTATTATTTATGTCACGGTGACCAGGTATCATGTTCCATTCAAATGTCCACAATCCAGATTGTCACCAGGAGCAACCCCCACTCTTCACCCCTTTCCTTGTCATCTGTGTTTGCAGATAGAAAATTTCCCCCTCTAGATTCTTGGGGAGTACTTGGTACTGGTTCTATCAGGATACTGAGAGATTATTTCAAGAAAAAGATTATGCAGTGTAATGCTTAGCATTTATATAGGTTCTTTTGATTTCAAAAAACAGCTTATAAACATCGCCTACCATGACAGCATCCTTTCGAGGTAGGTGAGTATTATTGTCTCTATGTTAACTATAGAAACCCGAGGCCAAAGAGCGAAGGACTCTGTTCTGAGCTTGGTGGCGGGAGCCAGAGTGGGCCTGGGCATCTTGGCCACTTGCTCTGGGCTCTGAAGAGGTCACACCTCTCTCATGTAGCAACAGTCTCCATTAATACAGGATTATGTATTGTAGATATATAAAACAACACACAATGACATTATAGAACAATAATCCAATATTTCTGTTTCTTAGTAAAATATGTTAAGCACAGTATTTAAATTGCATTTGTCTGAAAAGCATTTGGTATATTAAATAGCAGAAGGTATATTAAATAGCTCTATAAACATTTGCTGGCATACTCTTAACAGCATAATAATTCTAAATAAATTAAAATCCACCGACGCATAGAGACCTTTCCTTTATAATACTGTTAACCAGACACAAATGTGAAATAGCTTTGTTCTCTAAATGCAGACTTAATGATTTGGTGAATATTAGCAGGGGCACTTCATTTTTCTAAGCTTGAGGAAATAAAATATATATATATATATATATATATATATATGTATCATATATATCATATATATATAACATATCTGATTGTGGTTTTTTAAAATAACCAGGTTGGGAGAGAAGAAAAATGTAGTTGAAAGGTGAAAATGGAAGACTGCTATTTCTATTTTGTATACATTCTGGGGAATTCATACCTTTCCCAAAGATATTCTCACATTTTGAGCTAGTGTTGAGGTGACTACAGGGTTGCTGTAGAAAAAGACAGACCCATGCCAAAGAGAACCTGTGGCATCAGAAGACAAGGGAACAAAAATGGGTGTTTTTCATGAGTCTTGGAGACTGGCATGAGATGAGGGTGTCTGTGCTCAGCTGCCTGGATAGGTCTTAGAGATGGTTTATTAGGGCAGAAACTTGGGTCTGTCTTTTTCTTCTTCTACCTTCCTCTAACTCCAGGATTCAGCAGTATTAAAGGATAGGGCTCACCTCACTCTAAAACCCGTACAGCTGGGCCAGCAGAAAAGGTTCTAAAACCAGTAAGAAACAGGAGCTAAGAACAGAGTCTTAAAATCTGTATGCAGATGTTAAAAACTAACTCCTACGCCAGAATGACATTCTCTGTTAGAGCTCATAGATACAAAAGGCTTAAATTTAATATATGGTGCTAAGATGTTATTAGCTAGATATTACATGTCATTCAGAGAACATTTTTAATAAGTGTGCTTTTTATTTCTCCTTAAAAAAAAAAAAGACGTAGTAAATTGTTGTCTTTCCTCTAGTCCTTCCTGCATTGCTTGTCTGTCAAGTGAGCTATGCACTCAGGGGCTCCCTCCTGGTGGTGTTATAAGTGGCAGGTTGGTTGGAGGGAGGCTTGAGTTTGGACAGGTTTGAGCAGTTTGGCTGTTTGGTTGGTTGTAAGGATTTGGCATAAGGTGAATACCAGTCTCTTTCAAACACATCTTTAAGTTGCTTAATGATGCTCCCGTTGTCTCTCACATCTGCCTGGTTGATGACAAGGCCCGTGCCAGCATTCTGGGTAAAGTCGTTCCCTACCCAGTCAAAATTTCCTGCAAACAAAGAAATCATAGTGAGAAGATACGATCAACTGGGAAAATTCCCACTATATGAAATACAGAACAGATTCAAATAAGAGAAATCATGAGAGGGTACGATCAAGTGGGAAAATTCCCAATACATGAATACAGAACAGATTCAAATAAAAAAAACCACATAAAATAAACACCCAGGAATAACAAGAGACACAGAATCGTGTTGACAGCTCCAGAGGAAAAAAAAAATTGCAAGAAGCCCTACATATGGTGGATTAATATTTGCATATTATTTTGGCATTTTCTTCAGCTTTGCTCAAATTGAAACTCAAAACAAGGAATCTGCTGTTCTTTTTCTGTAAATGTTATTTCTTATTGACGTTCACAAGACACACTAAATACAGCAACATTTAAAATATATAGGAATACTTAAAAATCCTGTGAACAATTACTACCTTCTCAAAGAGACAACATTGAATCCATATGTATAAACATTTTTATGCAGAGACACTTCACAATTGAGACAAAGCTGAAGGCAGAGAAGTGGCTCCCTAAGGAGACTGGCAGACATCTTCCAAGGCAGGGGGACTGGCTGCTTGGCCAGGTGTGAGCACAGGCTCATAGGTCTGACTGCACCGTAGATAGATGGCGGATTTGTTTTCCTGGACAGTTTTCATGAAATGCCAGAAAACAGTTGATTTAAATAGTAGAAACGTGTTCTCATGACTTTGGAGACAAAATCAAGGTTGGTTCCTTCTGGGAGCTAAGGGAAGTGTGATTGCTAGTATTTATTGCCAACTTAACACATCTAGGAAGTACTACCACCATCAAATTGGCCTCTGGCCATGTCTATGGGGCATTTTCTTGACTGCTAATTATGTAAGAGAGCCCTGTCTACTGTGGGCATTGCCATTCCTGGGAAAGTGGGCCTGGACTGGACAAGAAAAGCCATGAGCCTGGGATCAAGACAGTAAGCAGCATTGCCCTTGGGGCTAATGGTTCAAGCTTCTGTCTTGACTTCTGGCCTTGGCTTCTTTTGATGGTGGACTTTAATCTGTAAGCTGAAACAACCCCTCCCTGACCCCCACCAAATTCCTTTTGGTCATGGTGTTCATCAAAGGGATAGAGAAACAAACTAGGAGAGAAAGGATGAGTTCCAATCCTGTCTGCTGGGTGGCCCTTTCTCTCTTTTCTCCATACTGGCTTTCCTCTATTCATGCCCTTATCCAGCCCTCTTCCTTATTTTGCTTATTAAACAAGATGCTACTGTATAGTTCAGGCTGGCCTCAAACTCGCCTCAGTCCTTCCCCTTCAGCCTTCTGAGATCTGTGATTACAGGCATGAGCCACCATGCACAGTTCTTCTGTGTTTTGTTTTTGTTTTAAAGGACATAGGCCACATTAGATTAATGTCTATTCTATTTATTTATTTATCTATCTATCTATTTATTTATTTATTTTGGTTTTTTGAGACTGTGTTTCTTTGTTTTGTTTTGGGGCCTGTCCTGGAACTGGCTCTGTAGACTAGGCTGGCCTCGAACTCACAAAGATCCGCTTGCCTCTGCCTCCCGAGAGCTGGGATTAAAGGTGTGCGCCACCACCACCCAGCTAATGTCTATTTTAATAACCCCACTTGGGAGTGATTTTCCTTTTTCACATTCTTTCATAAAGGGAATCAGGACTTCAACATATGGGTTTTGAGGTTGAGATCATTTTAGGAGAGGTTGATAATGGCTATGCCATTAATGCCTAATCTATCTTCAAGGCTGTGGTGGTTTGAATGAAAACAGCCCTCATAGACTCATATATTTGCGTGCTTAGTCCACAGTTGATGAGCTTTCAGGGAAGGATTAGGAGGTGTGGTCTTGTTGGAGGAGGTGTGTCACTAAGGGTGGGCTTTGAAATTTCAAAAGGCCACACTTGGCCCAGTGTTTTTCTCTCTGTGTCTGTTGTCAGAGGATCTGCTTGTAAATCTCTTAGCTCCTTCTCCAGCACCACACCTACCTGCATGTCACCATGATGAAAATAGATAAACTAAGCCTGTGAAATTGAAAGCAAGGCCCCAATTTAAGTGCTTTTTTTAAAAATAAGATTTGCCTTGTCCACAGTGTATCTTCATAGCCATAGAACATGAACTAAAACAAAGGTACAGGAGTGGTCTGAGCAACCCTTCCATGTATGATTCTTTGGTATCTAATAGGCAAAACCAAGCTGTGTCCTGAGAATGGGATGGTGCCATTTACTTCTTGGATCTTCCTTGTCTCGTGTTGTTCACTGAGTACCCAGTGTTTACCAGGTCTGATATTAAGAATGTGGATATAAATCTGAAAATGACAGTTCCTGCCTTCAAAGAGCCAATGGCAGAAGCAGTCCCTAGAACACAGAGAGTATGAAAGGGCACACCAGGATTTCACATGCAGGGCCACTAGCACTGAGAGAAGGTGTTCCACCCTTGGCAAATGTGTCAAGAAGCATCTGTGCACTGAGTAACGAGAAACACACTGAATGTTAACCAGGACAAGAGATAACCAAACTCCAAAAGGAGGGTGCTATCTTTTGGGCAGAGAAAAGGATGGGAGTTTGGAATACTAGGAGTTGTGGTCTAGCTCCAAGAGAGTCTGGGAGGAGAGCAACTATGATTTACTGCCTTTTTTTGGGCAAAGCACAGTACTTGTGTTTATATACAATATTTTGTATGATGGGAAGAATTTACCATGAGGGAGGAGATGTTCACGGAGGTTCCTACATTTGTCCTATGTTTCATGGTTAACAAATGGTGCTTCAGAGAAAACTGTTGGAGCTGGGGTTCAGAGTCAAATCTAACTCCGAACAGCACTTCCCTTCTGTGCCATGTTGCCTCTGGCCCTATAGGCACCCACTTCCCACTTCACTCTGGACAAGGACCTCAGCTCGGGCTCTGGGTCATCGAAGTCACACTGAGATTTCTGCTACATGCATTGGCTGATCACCTTTTATGGAGGAAACAGACGCAGACAAATGTGTTGGGGGAAGCCCTAGGAGGAGAAAAGAGGATGGAGAGAAGTGAGGACTTTGGGGCCTTGTCCTGTAAATCTAGCTTTTTCCTGCCATCAGTGAACAATCCGAGATCAGGTTGTTTGTGGATTTCAAATGCTTTAGTTGGATTCTTTTCGATAAAGCTCTGGGAAGCTTCATGCTGACACAGGAATTTTGGCTGACTTTCAAGGTGACATATGGTTCTGTATTTTTTTTAAAGTTGAGCTACAATTTCACCTGTTATTTTTTTAAAGATGATTTCAGCTCCAAAAAATGCACACTAAGGTGGAAATATCCAGACTATAGTGTGTCCTGTGTGTATATGCGATGCTATGTTGAGGGTGCCAAAGAGCTCACTTTGTTGGTAGGCAGCCTTGGGCATCTTGCCAACACCTTCAATTAACCTCCTGCCCCCTCCTTAGCTGTCTAATCACTCAGACACCTTCCTGACAAATTTTCAGAGCTTAGCTCAGATACATTATGGAGAATTTAAAACGAGAGAGTTGATGCTCCCTGAAGATTCTTCTGGAAGTCACATACAAACTTAAAAGAGCTATAATCCCATACCCTGGGAATTTTCTTAGTTCTACATTATCCATGAGCATGGAAGGAATGATTTAGAAGGTTTCAGAGTGTGCCCATGATTATTTAAGGTATTGGTTATTTTCCCTTTTGATGTTCTTTGAGTGTTTTTATGCTAGAACACTGATTCTCCCTAGGGAATCAGTGTTTTGCTAAAACTGCTGTCTATAAATGAACTCACCTAAAAACATCTTAGCTCAGGAAGAGGAAGAGAGCAAGAATCCAATGTTTACTCAGACCCCAGATCCACCAGCGACAATATGTAGATCCTTTTATATATTATCTCATTTAACCTCACACTGCCATCAAAGGGTGAGCACTATTATCCTCTTTCACAGATGGGGAAACTGAGACTTAGAAGAGATTACATGACTTGTTACCATCTTCCAGTTTGTGTCAGATTTTTCTGATTCCAAATGCTGATTTAGTTTGTTCTAGGAATGTTTGGATATCAGGTGAGCCATTTTGAGATCAATAAATATTAGTTAATAAGCTACCACCGCATTCTGGTCTTGGATTGAGTTCTGTCTTCCTCTTTAGTTAAGTTGTCACTTAATGTGCACATGGCACATCACTTTAAATAAAAGCTTCAATAAAAGGTCCTGCTTTGGGGTCTTAAGCCGCTGTGTGCATGATTGGATTTATCCCTAAGTTTTAGATAAGTTAGCCAGACGATCCCATTTCCCTAGTAAACAATTCTGAGAGTTTTTGTCACTTTTTAAAAAAAGTTTTTGTATTTATTTGTTATTTATTTAACATTTATGAGTGTTTTGCCTGCATGTGCTTGGCTCCTCAGCAGTGAGAAGAGGCCAGGGGATACCCTAGAACTAGAGTTAGTGGATGTTGTAATCCCCTACATGGGTGGTGGTAATTTAACCCAGGTCCTCTGCAAGAGGTACTCCAAACTGCTGGGGCAGCTCTCCAGTCATTGTCACTTGCTTAAAAAAAAAAAAAAAAAAAAAAAGCTAATCTCATTGTTTTCCATAAGTTGATAAAGATGAGGAAATTAAAATAATCCCATTTGAATCACTTTTGAATTTGCTTATAATCTAAAACAGCTAGAACTACATATTTTTTTAAAATTTTTTTTTGAGACAGGGTCTCACTATATTCCCCAGGCTGTCCTGGAACTCACTCTGTAGACCAGACTGGCCTTAAACTCACAGAGATCCTCCTGCCTCTACTTCTGAGTGCTGAGAGTTTAAAGGGTGCATCACCATGCCAGGCAAATCTTTAAAAGAAAATTTATTTTATCTTTTTGTGCATGAGTACAGTACCCATTGGGGCTAAAAGAGGGTGTCAGATCCTCTGGAGCTGGTATTAACGGTGGTTTTGAAAATGTGTGACATAAAAGTGCTGAGAAGTAAACTATGGAAGAGCAGTAAGTGCTCCTAACCGTGGAGGAGTCATCTCTCTAGCCCCATGACTATATATGTGTATATATGCTCTATTCTTAAGAAGACAATGCCATAATTATGAAAAATAGAGACTTATATCCTCAGGCTGAGATTGCAATGACCCCGTAGTTTGGACAGGACACCCAGCTCCTCTCTGGACACCTGCGTGCCTGAGTTACTTCCTTATTCAGACCCCAAATCCTCACTTCTAAACTTGGATCACACTCTCCTCTCTGTTGGTAGTGATACTAAGATGACTAAATAAGGTAAAAGTGCTTCATGAAGTAAAGAGGGTTTTTTTTTTTATTCTCCCACGGAATTTATAGAAATAACTGATAGGGATTCCATATCCCTTCCTGCACCCCACAAACATGTTTGTCTTCTCCGCTGGAGCTGCCGCTTCCTGTGCAATGTCATAATCAACCTGATTGTTTAGGATTTGAGCATCTCCTTTTTGTAGACACTGTCAGCTCTATCTGTGATGACTGCAGTGAAGGAATTACCCTGACCTCCCACACACTGCAAAAAGTTAGAATAATCCCACCAATGTAATCATGACTGATGCACCTGGAACTTTATTGCCTCAATAATAATAATAGCTAACATTAATTGGGCATCATCCATGTGCCAGGTGCTTTGTGTATATTATCTCTCATTTAAATGTCACTCCATGAAGTTAAAAACTGCCACCAGCCTCATTTACAAATCAGCAAACTGAAATTTAGGGAGCTCCAGGGAACTGCTCCACATTAGATATTTAGAAAATGGCAGCGATGTCATGAGAAGATGGCATGGATGTCTTCGCTGCCCAGACAGCGTAATGACTCACCAGAAGCCCAAGATAGGATGCCTTATGACACTGTAGACAGGAGAATAAACATTTTTGGCCCATGTGTCTGTTCCATGCAGGAACTCACATCTCATGAGCCCTTTGTCTCCTTGCTTATAAAATGAGCCAAATGGGTCAGAGGATGTCTGCTGAATGTAGACAGCAAATCGTCTTCCATGATCACCAGCCAATGGAGTAGAGGATGGTCTACCTGGCTGAAGAGCTCTTGACCTTCACCCTTCTACTTTTTAGCTGCACAATAGCTAGCACACCCCTAATGTCTGGGTGATCCCCAAAGAGGAGCTTTTCAACCCCCATACCCACCAATGTAAGCTGCTCCGTCTGTCACCATGTACTTGTTGCGGTTTAATTTGGGAAAGGTCTGGTTCTTTTGTTCTTTTGTTGCACACGCATTCTCTCTTTCCAGGTCAAAAAATTTCTGTAAGACAAAAAGCCAAAAGAAAAAAAAAAGAAAGAAAGAAAGAAAGAAAAGGTAAGAAATCAAAGCAGGTCAATTGAGAATGTTTTGGGTCTTATTCACAAGTACAAAGGAGTCTATTCTCCAAATATCAACAATAGAACTCATATTGGGTTATTAAAATGACACTCTTGTTACTTGGTATAGAGGAAGCTATTTTTGCTCTCCATCCATATAGGCAACAACAAAGAAAATTAGCATGCTCAACTAGCGCTATGATTAACTCTGCAAAGCTAACAAATGAACACAAAAATTCCTTCTCTGAACAGGGTGCGAGCAAGGAGGTTGTTTAATTGTCGCTGTTTTATTCAGCAGGGCACGCTGGCACTGGAAGCAGCCTCCAGGCCCTCTGTGTCACGCATGCTAACAAACTGAATGAATGTTCTTCCCCGGTGCATACATTATGTCAATGTCTAGCTGATTCATCTGAGAATCTGCAAAGGTCAAAAGAGATTTTGCCGAAAGAACAAATAGTTTCCGTTGGAACACCTAAGGTCACAGACTTTTTGAAAGGGCAATTAAAAAAAAATCACAAATTCAAACTATAGAATTCTATAATGTCAGCATGACATCATTGTCATCATCATCATCATCATCATAGCATTCTACTGCACCCAAGGCCAAAAATGAACGAGATTGGGAAATGAGGCCTGAGTGTAGTGAAGGCAGGCCTTAGAAATTTGACAGGCGTTGAGTAAAGTGTCCATTGTGAATGAGGCCATGAGACTCTGAAAGCTGAGCTTAGAGGAGACACACATTGAAGTCAAGGGTCTCGGATCCCCTCTGCAGTGGAGAACATGGATTCTAGAAGGGCTACCAGCTCTAGTCTCTGTGTGCTGGATGGGAAGAGAGGCAGAGGGCAGAAAGATGAGACTTCATGTGTAATTAATTTGGGCTGGGGAAATGCTGAGAATTGGTCTAGCCTTCTATTTCATGCTGGGAGAGGGGTAAGGCTGGTGGTCACTAAGGGCCTAGCTAGATTTTCCAAAAAATCTATTTTGAGCTTCATGGGGGGGGCATTGTTAGAGGTCTAATGTGCTGAGAGGTCTAATAAGCAAACAGATTGAAGAGAATTGGGTAATTCATTAAATAAAGTAATTCAAGTTAGCTGTGAAAATATTTTTAGATTAAAATTTTTAAAATTTATGTTGAAATGTGGGTATATGCATGCAAGTGCAGGTGCCCACAGAGGCCAGAGGTATAGATAGTTGTAAGTTACCTGAATCGCCTGATGTGGATGCTGGGAACTGAACTCTGGTCCTTTGCAAGAACAGTGCATGTTTGTATCTGCTAAGCCATCTCTGTAGCCCTGAACTGTGATAGTCTTGCAAGTAGCAGTCTCCCTCTGATGTCCTCAATGATACCAAGCTACATCTGGGCCGGATGAGAGCATCTACTTAGAGATAGAGAGCCCTGCCTGGTCCCAAACCATCTAACTGCCCTGTCAGGGCTCTGTGCCTCCTGCAGACATACTGTATCCAAAGTTTCTATACCCTACTTTTCTTGTAAGAGCTCACTAGCCATCTGTGTCCTAGATGATGGGGCCATGTTTCCTTCCCACCCATGCTTGTCTTGACATTTAAAAATACATGGCCTCTGTTTTATAAAATGGCCAGCAGTGAGCTATTATTGTATGGCTTATTCAAGATTCATGACCATCTGTGTCCAAAATGGTGAAGCCGATGGTGTTCTACAGAGGCTACTACAGTGGCTTCCTCTTTCCCTGTAGGATTTCAAATGCAAGAGCCTTAGATACAAGCCTGCTGTGGGGGCAGGGAGCAGCATGGTGGGCAAGACCCCTGACTTTGGATGAAGGGAGATCAAGAGTGACCATGGGAATGAATGTACCATGCTGTATGCCAAGCTCCTAGAAACCTCATACACTTGACAGAAGATCCCCTGATGTCACTCACTGACCCCTGGGATGCGTGAAGCTCACTGGGGATACCAGATCATAGACAATAACTAAGAAAAATCTGAATGATGCTTGGTCCATAGGAGGGAGTCCATGTCTGGTACTGTAAACCCAGGCAAAGGCCCACATCTTGGCAGGGCATATGCCCTATTGGGAAAGTCATTGCTTTTGTTTTGCTAAATGGACATACTGTACCTGTCAAATTGCCATCTAAATAGCTACATTTATGCACATGTATTAGCGTTGCTATCAGTTTTGGTCTATGAAGCATCTTTCTGCAGTGGGCAGTAGTTAATACAGAGACTCATAATTGGTCAAAGTATTGAGGAGAAATGACTACTGAATGCCCAGCCATAGATAGAACATCTATACTCCAAGGCACATGGGACGTGAGAGCTGGGAGAAGGAGCAGGAGAGGTGGAAAACCCTCGCTTCTTGGCATGACATAGCTGTTGCACCTTTGAACTTAAAATAAACTGTGATAACCTGCACAAAATTTCCATAAGACTGGGTCCATGAGCAGTCTGTCATGGAAGCAGGGGTCGGGATCATGTGGTACCGCCCTTCCCTGGTAATTTAGAAGCAGTTTGTGCTTGATGGGGAAGGGAGAAGTATTTTATTCAGGCGTGTAGCTACTCATGTGGGGCCCATGCTCTGTAAACACCGCTTCTAGAAATAGCCACAATGAAACTCACCAGAGAGAAAAATGACTGGCGTGTTGCTCTGAGTAATCTTTGCTCTCCTCACTGGCGATAGAGCCTATCTTACCACTGCCTTTCCCAGATCTCCTGCCTTTTTTTTTTTTTTAAACTGCCTTCATTTGTGCATACCACTTTAGCACATATTTTGAGCACTACTAGCTTTATGTCAGACATTAGGAAGAAACAGTGACAGGATATCTGGTTTCTGCGTCATCTGACTTCCCTTGAGTCCGGAGTGCCACTTCAGTGTCCTGGAGGACGCTGTCCCTCAGCTGAAATAACCCCAGCATTCTCGTCTCTATAAAGAGGCATCATACACAGCTGGACTGGTCCTTGCCTGGCTCCCCTTACCAACCTCTGCTTCCACTGCCTGCATTTGATTTCGAACCCCAGTGAGCAACCTTATCCTGTCTTGGATATTTCATAGACATTCAAATATGGCCTGAAAAACAGATGACTGTTTATAACCACAAATTCATTTTCCTAGCTCCAATACTTACAATGATTTTCGAACTCATAGTCATGGGGGTGTCTGCTTCAGTTTTTAAAAACTGAAGCTAAGTACAGAGTTGTAGAGAGATAGGTATGGAAATTCTAGGGTTCCCTATTATGGGAAGGAAGGAAAATAGATAATGGGTGCTGAGACTATCAGATCAGGAAAATCCTCAAACCTATTCCCTTTGTCCAGTGAGATGCAGCTACCATTCTGAACACACTCATAGCCTCCCTTGCCTTTTGGTGTTACCCTGCAAGTGATGTCCGTAATGGAACAAAAGCTGGAAGGATGCCTACCACCTTTGGCCTAACCATCCAGTGTTCTTCTCCACCTATGTTTGCCTCTGGTATATCGAGGGTCAGGGATAAGCTGGAAGCTATGATTCAAGAGGGATACTTCAGAGACCCTGTCATCACGTGTTGACAGGTGTCTCAGGAAGCACAATGCCTGTCACAATTGGGGTCTCAGCATACAGCATGTTGAGGGGCTTGCTTTGAAAACTGAGGCTGGAAGGATTAATTAAGAGTTTTGTGGGCAGGGGAAATAGCACCCACAAAGGTCCTGAGGGGAGGAGGCAAGAAAACTGAAAGGAGGCAAGAAAGCCTGAAAGTTAAGTTAGCACATTTCGTGGGTACTGGAGTTTAAATGGGAAATGTCTTCCATAGGCTCACACATTTGAATACTTAGACTAGTGGACTGTGATATTTTGGGAGGAGGTAAGGCCTACATGAAGAAGTAAGTAGGGCAGGGGTGGGACTTACGGGTTAGATCCTGTCTCTAGTAACAGCCCAAGGTCTGTCCTTCCTGACAGGCCAAGGTGTAAAAAGTCAAACTGTCTACTCATGCCAGCAAGGCACAAGTCCCAGGCACCATGGGACTGTGGACTCAGCTCAATGCTGTCTCCCTCCAGCCACTTCTTGTCAGGGTTACTAGCAGTTCCCCACCTTGCCTTCCTCTGGGCATCTAGAGATGGATGAGCATGTGACCCAAGAGACTGGGGCAAGCCCAGCAGTCTGGGCTAGTGGGATGGTGGGCAAGGTCAGTGTGTGTTGATGGATATTTCCATGCTCTGTCAATGTTGCAAATAAATTAGTAGGCAAATGAAGCGGTCCAAATAAAGTGCATGCTTGAAGGGGCTGCAGAGATGCCTTGGAGGGCCAACTGCTCGCTGCGCACACATGAGTTCCACACAAAGCCTGGCAGGCTGCTGTTTATAACATTAATGATGGGGGTAGATGGAGGCAGGTGACCCTGGATCTTGGTGGCTAGCCAGTCTAGCCAATCCAGTGAGCTTCAGGTTTTTTAAAAAAAGTAAGGTGGAGAGCAACTGAGGAGAACATCTGATGTTGACCTCTGGCTTCTACATGACAACCCCCACCCCCACCCCTGTGTGTGTATGGTGTGTGCTGACAGCTTTCATAGGCATGCAAAGGGAATAAGTCCTTTTTATTTAGTAACATGGTCAACAAAACACTTACAACTTTTAAACTGCAGTTGGCTATTTCAGTGCAAATAGCTTTAAGAGATGAAATGAAGTTAAATGTGAGGGGGTCAGTCTCCTTCCAGAAGCTAATGAGGAGCCGGACTTTAACGCTTCGTAAAACTAATGCTTCTCTTATTTTCCCGTCCAAATCTGGCCAGTATGTCCTGCAGAAGACAAAGGAGGAAAGCCATTTGAGAAAGAAACAAACAACAGAATGCTTTGCTGTTCCTTTGTGCATTGCTCTATTCTGCAACATGCCAACCACCTTGCAGGGTAGATCAGTGAAACAGGCCTTTGGAGTGAGGCACCTCCTTATAGAAGGTCTAATACAAGGCCTATATATGGACCTTATAGAAGGTCTCAGGCCCACGGGGTGAAGCCATGTGGAGCTAGTGTTCAGATGGACTGGCTGCCTTGGGTTAGCCCATGAAACAATGAGTTTCATCATGGCATCTTCACACACAATACAAGAAGTATTTGAACAACAGTCAGAATGACAAATAGCTGATTGGTCTCTGGATATTTGGGTTTCTTTACATTTTCCCTGCTTGTAAGATAATTGTTTCTTTGAGACCAGGGTTCACCCTGTAACCTATTCTGGATTTAAATGATGTAGCTTTGGATGATCTTGAACTTGTGACCTCCTGTCTCAGCCTCCCCAAATCTGGGAATACAGGTGTCCACCACCACACACCACAACCCTTCCAACCAACTGCAAAAGACCTCAGTTTTGGCCATAGGCGGCCATTGGACAAAGTTCTGTTAATCTTGAGCCATCACCTAGGACCACATGAACCTGGTCCCCCGTGCTCCTTGGTGACAGGGCAACCAGACACAATGTGCTATGTTTCCAGAGGAAAGCTGACATCTAAAATTTCATCTAAAGCCAAATAAACAAGAAATGGGAGGGGCATAAAGAGGAGGCATAGGAATGATGGGAAAGTGTGTGGGAAATCCATGAACATTCAGAAGATGCATACTGTCTTAAAGTAGCTCTGTCTTAATAACATGCCTCTTATAGCTCACAGTGTTTTCCCGCTGTTACGAAATGACCCATTTCTGGCAGGCTTTTTGCAATCTTACGGTCATTTGCATAGAGATGCTACACGTTATGCATATGTGGGATTGGCAAGATGAACAATATTCAAGTAATATATGGCACACTTAATCATTTAAGCTCACTAAATGGCTATTTTGAAATTATAATTTTCGGAATGATGAAGGTCTTCATTTGCAGTCAGAAACGCACATTTTTGGAAAGCGTTTCCTGGTTAAACTAATTATTGAAAAACACCGACAAGCACCCAAAGATCTGCCCTTGCAGCAAACAAGCTAAAGAGGGAATGCCTGGGTGTGGTCCCACATTAGGTGTGATTATTCTCCCGAGAGCTTTGCCACATGCTCTGCCCCTGAATTGTTTCCAAGTTACTATATGGTCAGACAGTGAGGAATTGCAAGTTATCCGCTTTTGTAAAGACCCTTTTCTTCTCATACTGTCTGAAAACATGTATTTTAAATTCCTTTCTCCTCTTCATCCTTGAGGGCACAAAGGCATATGCTTTTCTCTTTAGGTAATTTTCAAAGTGACATTTGCCCAACCTTCTTTCTGAGATTGCTCCCGTGCTTATAGGATAAACTAGTGAGGTACTCCTGCAGAGTGAGAGCCTTTAAATTGGACACACTTGGAGAAAGAAAGGCATGATGGACAAATTGCAGGTGCACACTACAGCATGACAGGATCTCAGAGCCCAGAGGCCTGAGAATCCCATAGTATAGGCTGGAAAGTCCCTGACCTTTTTGTGCTGGTACTGGAGATAGGCAGGTAGTCAGTGACAGCAATGTACACGTACTGCTTGGCATCATCAATCACACTGTAGATGGCATCAATGTCAAAGCTTCTGTTTTTAGGACAAAAGAGTTTGGGAGAATTCTGTGAAGATATAAAGCCCGAGATGTTAGAGTTGAACTGTAGGAACCTGTGGATTTAAATTTTTTTTTAAATTTGTGTTGGTAGGTCTTGATTTATTGGTAGGTCTTGGCTAATTACATGGTATGCATACCCCCTATCTGCTTTTCTTTTCTTTCCTTTCCTTTGTTTTTTTTTTTTCAAGACAAGGTTTCTCTGTGTAGCCTTGGCTCTCCTGGAACTAGCTCTGTAGACCAGGCTGGCCTCAAACTTACAGAGATCCACCTGCTTCTGCCATGCCCTGCCCAGCTTCCTTGCTGCTTCTTGATCAGTTTATAAGAAAACTATTTTTCATTTGTCAAAACTGAGGTGGGATGTGTCTCAAGTCGATCTCTGTCTCCGGAGGGAATTTTTGATTTCCACGCACACCTTGCATCCTCCTCCTGTTGCATAACTGAGAGTTTTCTAAAGTATCATTTACAGACATATACACACATGGAGTAAGCAATTTATTCTAGAAGTCATTTCATCTGAGAAGTGATGTTGGCCATAAAAATACCCAAGACACAAATCCAAAAATCTCCCCCCCCCCTTGATCTTTCATAGAGTTGGGAAGAGGAGTGCTGATTGTAGAGAAGGCCATCTATAACCCTCCAAGGAAACTGGAATTACTGTGATGCCCAGATCCATCAAGAGAGTCAGAGAAGAAAGATATTGCACCAGACCTCAGCAAAATGAGGAAAGAGGCATATTACGTTGGAGATATTTTTCACATGTCTGAGATTGTTTGTAGGTGCAGCTGGGCTAGCAAAGGAAAGATGCACTTCAGGGCCTTCATTGCTTTTGCAGTGGGGAGGATTGGACAGAGCGTCTCCTGTAAGTCCATCCTTTCTCTGACAAGCAGTTCCTTGTGGGAGGTACAGGTGCACAGAAGAGAGGATAAACGTATCTTGGAACTGCCTGGAATAAAGGGCAGCGTGGGACAATAAGAGTTCCCAAGTCATTTGCCCCCAGTGTCTCACCTTGCATTGGTGGGAATCTCATCCTGTTTCATGACTCACAGAATGAAGGTGCTGGGTTGAATACTCACCCCACCCCCAATGGCAAAGTGGCTATCTAGGGGCATATAAAGGGTAAACACTTCCCAGGCATCCCTGTCCTGACAGTCCTTGTGATGGCTATTAGTGATTGTCAACTGGTTAACGCTGATTGTCAACACAACAGGCTCTAGAATCTTTGAAGAGATCAGCCCGTGGGCATGACTTTGAGAGAATTTTTAGATTAGGTAAACTGAGGTTTATCACCTTTACTGTGGGCTGGAATCCTCAACTGCATAAAAAGAGAAGGCGGGCTGGGCACCAGCATCCAGCTTCCACTGTTTTCCCAGCTGCAGATGTGATGTGAGCAGCTGCCCCATGCTCCTGTTTCTATGCCTTCACCACCATGTTGGCCCTCCCTTGAACTGTAAGTCACAATAAACTCTTCCTCCGTCAAGTTGCTTTTGTAAGATATTTGGACACAGCAATGAGAAAGGCAAGTAATAAAAAGTCCTCCTGGCCAGCAATAGGCAAGGTATACTTTGGCTTAGTTATTTTATTTTTTGAAGGAAGATAAACTGCCATTCACTGGGGGCGATGCATTCAAATTCTCTTCCTCACCCACAGCCTTGTCTCTATGGCATTTAACAGCTGGGTACCCTTGGCTTTCAGGATGAACTCCTGTCTCAGGATGAGGATCCCTGGCTGTTATTCTGCCCCCACCCCAGTATTTCCAGCCCATGATTGTGTCCTTGTCACCTCTGCTTCTTGACATTTGCTCAGCGAGGCCCTCTTGGTGACATGCTTCCCTGCTTGTCCTACTGAATCTCTCTCTAAATTCCAGCTCAAATACATGTCTTCCACGAAACATTTTCTTTATTCCTCAGATCTTCAGACCGAGGCTACCTCTGGGCTCCTCGGCAGTATGCTTCTTTTTCTTTCTTATCAACTCCCTTCCTTTCTTCCTTCCTATTTTTCACTCCATCTCTCCATCCCTGGGGTGGTGGGAACCAGGGCTTTCCTTAGGCTAGGCAGGCGCTTTATCACTGAGTTATACCCCCAGTCTCAGCTTCATCACTTCAATCATGTTGTCCAAGGGCATTGGGTGACTCAACACTGCTGTACAACCCTTCCCATGATCCACCTCCAGAATTTACTTTCTATCTTATTTAGCACATTCAGAGATATAATTGCTTACACTTGCCTCTCTGTCAGCTAGACTGTTTCTAGCTTGATTTTAGGGGTTGTGTTTATTCATTTTCCTATATCATTAAAATCATACATTCAAATGATTTAATTTCCTCAGCCGGTTTCATCTGTCTTAGCCATGGCTCAGGGTGCCATGGAGCAGCTGAGGAACTTCTCTTTGGACAGATTCCTGGGCTCTAAAACTTGTCAAAACACTCATGGTTTTGTTTCAATTAAGAACTCCCAGAGTTTCATCCTGGGATTCCAAACTGGGCTTTGCTTTTGGAGAGAAGCACATTTAGGTAGGGATTGGTTGGGCACCACTGTGCCCTGATGCCAGGGGGAGAGTGAGGGCTTCAGTGATTTAGGCTAGTTTCCAGACTTACAGATCAAGAATGTTAGTATACACCACCTGCTTAAGTCTCCCTTCCTTCTCGATTTACACCCCCCTTCCCGCCCCCTTGATCTCCTCTTTCTAACTTCTTTCCCAAGACAGACTCTCACTGTGTAACCTCAGCTCTCCTGGAAATCTCTCTGTAACCCAAGCTGACCCTGAATTTGTAGCAATCCTCCAGCCTCTGTCTCTTAAGTACTGGGATTACAAGCACCACAGCCTGCTTCTTAATGGAGTTAATAAGAGTCACACCTTCTCACACTGGTGCACTCTGAGGATGGAATAGGAGAATAGCTATTCTCTGAATGCGGACTGGGCATGCCGTTGCTCTGTCAGCACATATCCCAAGTGCCTGTCATGTCCGGGCTCAGGTCTAGGCAAGTGGCATGTGGCAGTGGATAAGGTAAGCACTGTGCATTGTGGAGCTTCATTCTGGCACCTGATACATGATGCTGCTTCATTTGTTGGTGTGCTTGCGTATCTGCCAGCTCTTGGGCTGTGCTATTTTTTTTTTTTTTTTTTGTACAGCTTCTGCACATTGTACCATGCACACATTACATGCCCAGTAAGTAGCTGTGGAATGAACGTGAATGTATTTCATGAACTGATAAATGTTGCAGGTTTGTCTCACCCTAACCTTTATTCCTAGTTGGAGTACCTTCATTCTAAAAATTTCCCCCAAACACATGTGGAAATCATTATTAGCATTAATCTGCCTTAGTCTTTCCTGAATTCCCTTTGCTTAACACAATGCCTGGGGCTTGGCAGGTGCTCCATGTGTCTGTTAAGGGAAGGCATAAGATTGTTTACACCAATGTACCCGCATCTGGGGGCTTCGTTCTACTGCTATAAACAGTATAATGTTCCTTAATATATAGCAACACAAAAGAGTGATTTACTGCTCTGTTGGGATGCTAATTGGCTCCCACTGTGCAGAGAGTGGCTGCTACATCCCCCTCAGCACTCTAGAAGGAATGTGCTAATCCTGGCAAGGTATGTTCCTTTATTCCACAGTTGAAGTAGAAGGCAAGACTATAGCACCTGTTTTATGTTTCAGCTGCCTTTACCAATCACGCATTCTTGAGGCACCCCATGTCTGGCTTAATCTAGGTTTTCTCTTGGATCAGTAAGTGCTGGATGTATGCATATTTTATTTTGCATACTCAGTCCGTAGGTGCTTTGTAGAGAATTTAATAGGTTTCTGATTTACTTCACAATGGTCTCCCGTTTTTTAAAAAGTTCATGTTGTCTTTCTAGAATATATACATTGAGATATAACTAAATATAGAAAGAAAACCCATAGCATAAGAGAGAAGACTTGCAAATTGTCTAATTGCTAAGAGCTTGTACAAAGAATGCAGAAAACCTCCCTAGGAGCTCTCCCAGTAGACACACAGTACAGCTGAAAGATGTAATCAGTACACAGCGACACTTATGCCACACCTACCAGAAAGGTTAACATGAGACAGAAATACAAGAAAAAAAGTGTTGACAAGAACATGAACACATGGCAGGTGGGATTTTAGAATGGTACAACCCATTTGGAAATCAGTTTAATAGTACCTCAAAATGATGAACAATCAGCAATTCTATTCCTAAGTATAAATCCCAAAGACCTGAAAATATATTTAGATAGAATCTTGGATATGAATGTTCACAGGGGACATATGAACAAGAGCTCAAATATAGAAATGCCAAACGTCTACCAACCAACACACACTTAAACAAAAATGGCATATTTATAATACAATATTATCTAGCCATAAAAAGAAGCAAAGGAACTGCCTATAAATCCATGCTACAACATGCGTGGACATGGTAGGTGGAAAAACAGTCATAAAAGACTACATTTTGTAATATTACATTTAGATAAGATCTCCATAAAAGGGAAGACACATGAAGGTCTGGATCAGAGGTTTCCAGGGCTCAGGGAGGGGAAAACAGAATGTAATTGCTAATGATTATGGCGAGTCCCTTGTGGCAAAGAAAACATTCTAAAATTTGATGGTGCCAATGACTGTAGAACCTTTTGGATACACCAAAGCTCACGGAACTATAAACTCTAAAAGGACTAAGTTCACAGTAAATAATTTATAACTCAATAAAGCTGCTAAAATGCAAGTACTAAAATAAAGTGGAAGCTTTAAGAAGGAATATAGTATGATACGTTTTTTCCTGTAGCAGTCCTGAGTTCTTTTCTGTGTCATCCCCTCTCAGCTCAGTCACCACGACTGATAGATAGGGAAAGATTGGAAGACCCAGGGGTCAGTGGGGACCATTGTGCAATAGTGTCTTCTGGACATGACAGGGTTGTTGTACTCATGAACTCACACAGTAGTAGTGGTTACATGCAAGACCTACAAATACCAAGCCAGTCAGCGGTCCATGACACAGGAGGGGCCCAAGGATCATCTCTAACTGAGACTATTGGCAGTTCATGGCTTCTAGGGGAGGGAGAGTCAGTTTTCCTCAAAGGTGTGGTCTCTGGTACTCTGGTACTCAGTCAAAATAGCCTTACACCCAAGCCCACACGGGCAGTTCTAACTAGACTCTTGCATTGTGAGAAAAAGAGGCCGTGAGATTGGGATGTGAGGGGGTCTGGGATGAGTCAGAGGGGCTGGTACACAGAGCCTTTGGAGGACAAAGGTTGGGGGGAGTAAGGCAGTGAGGGTGCATGACTCACCGACACAAAGGCTTGTGACTTGGTTTCATTCAACTGAAGTTGAAGCTTCTTCTCATTGTCATAGACTCCGTAAAGCCTCTTGGACCAGGTCTGGGGTACTCTGCTCTTGAATTTTAATGAGCTATATAAAGCGAAGATCCTTTGTAAATCTAGGACCAGGCAGCTGCAGTTGTAGAAGATGACACCGAGTTCTTTCATCTGTGAAATTAAAATTGAGAGCATCAACGTGGGGTGCAATTGATGCTTTTTTTTTTTTCAGAGAAAAATGCATACGAGTGCTGTAGCAGAGATCCTTTTTTTAAATGCTTTTTTTTTTTCACTTAAGTATGTAAATAGGACCACATTATAGCATATAGAAGAAATGTCCCCTAAAATGTTCATATACAGGAATAGACCTTTTCCTCCCTTTCTGCATTTGGCCTTTTACAGAGACGATTTTACCAGCTAGAGTTTTAATATTGGCTTTTCACATGTTTTCCCCTCAATACCATTTTTTAAAGGGATACTTAAGCAGCAAGACAATGACCCTCTATTGCATCTTTACAGAGTGGTTATAGCTATAGATCCTGGAGCCATGCTGCTTGGAAATTGGCTCCAGCCTCACAGTGTTAGAACCATGTGATTTTGGGGTAATAAACTTAATCTCTGGACCTCAGTGTCTTCATACATAAAGTGGAGGTAATAGTGTTAACCACACAGATAGAGATGCTATAACAGACTGGTTAATACAGTTAAGAACAGTGTTTATAATCATTAACAATTATGGCAAATTGTTATTCTTACTAAAATTGCATACTCTTGACAGTAGGAGACTCACACCCAAAGAGACCATAGAAGTATTTTTTTTTTTTTTGTCCCTCTTTCCTCAATGCATGCGAAGGAAAGTGAAGGCCATAGAGTTAAGTAAAATTACAAGTCAGAGAGGAACTCAGTGGTAAATTGGGAATTTGATTGCAGGTTTTGTGAATGGTGGTTAGATACACCCAGGCAAAGATGGAAATGACTTCCTTTGAGTCATCCTTGCACCACAAGGGCTGTTCTGTTAAAGTCTCAGCATCAAGGGCTATTGGGTTGGTCTCCTGTGAGGACGTCTGGTTGAGAACACAGCTTGTTTGAATTTTGGACCAACAGTTATTTCAAGGGCCAGACATTCATCCAGTAGACAGTCTCTGACCAGCTACTGTTACCCAGCCCTGAAGTTAGTACAGTCCCCATCTTCAGATACTCAGTATAAAGTCACAAATGAGAAATATCATGTACCATAAAATCATGACACAATCTAAAATAACGATCTCTACACTGGAGATCATCAGTCAGCATCGTTCCTTCACATAGGTGTGAACACTTGAACAAAAGCCTCTCTTCACCAAAGATGTGGGAAGGGGAGGGACTGCCACTGAAATTAGGTAGATCAGTCAGGCTTGGGATCTTACAGAGACCAGCAGACGGCCCTGTTCTGGAGACTGAATGCGACTCTCAATGGATTCTGTCAAAAGGCTCAGAGCAATTCTCCTGGGAAATCAGGCAGACAAAACAGACTTTTTCATAAGTGTGTATCACTACCATGTGACTAAACGTAGGGGCAGGAAGAATTGTATTAGCATTGTGGTCCCTCAGGTTATTAGCTGTGTGGCTGTGGACAAGCTCTCCAACTTCTTTTTGTCACTGAGAAAGACAAAAGCCAGCCATGGCACCTGAGGACTAGCGTGCAGCCCTCAGCCACGTCTTTGGGTTTCTGGGATCTGGTTTGAGCCTTCAGCTTTCTATGAAACAGTTTTATAGAACACTGTCACAGACAGGGCCACCCTGTGGGCATTTATGAAGGACCAAGGCAAAACTGAGACTGTGTAATCGTAGCTGAGCACACACAAGAATGTGAACCACCATTCGAGCCATGGAAATGACAAGACATATCTCACTCAAGCTGACTCGCTGTGATTTATTCTCTACACTTAGCTTACCTCATTAACGACACCCATATAGGTGAGACCTACTAAGACATCCACTCTTCCATGCTCCCTCACTTCCTACCAGCATCCAATCATGAGCAAAGCCTTGCTTTCTCAAGCACATCCCCAAATCACCAAACAGAAACCCAAAACCTACAACTCACTTATCAAAGTGCCTCCTGAACTTTCTCACAACAGCTGGCCATCTCCCTATTCCTGCTGGCTTTTGGCTGGGGGCAGTGACTCTGCTTCATCCCTACACCCATGCTGTAGTGTGCTGTGAGGACAGACAGTTTGGTGCAGCGGCACAGTGAGCATTGCTCAACAGGTTACTTTTAGACAAAGCGCTAGGTGTTCAGTATCACTCTAACGCAGCAAGTTGCTCAGAAGCAGTGCAGAGAGGTACTTCAAGGGAGATGAACGAATGAAAGGCAATAGTGATGCCTGTGGGCAAGCACAGAGAAGGATGGTGCATTTGGAAGAGGTTTCCCACTTGCACCTAAAGCCAAATAATCCTATTGAGACACTTCTGGTCTCTTTCTGCAATAGACCTGATCTTAGAACATGTACCAACACATATTGTAATCTGGGTATCTGGAGGGCCAAATCTTTGCAAACAAATGGGAAAATTGAAAGCATGAAATAAAAATGCTTCTTTGATGAGAAATGACAGAAGTCTCACTCATTGGTCACTGTGTTCTGGGGACTGCTCCAAATGTTTCACACATCCGTGTCTTAAAATCATTTTCTTTAATAGGCATCCTTTTATACTGGCAATTTTCATACACGGATATCATGTACTTGGACTACATTCATCTCTCTCCTGCCCTTTCCCATCTCTCTGTCTTGTTATCTCCGTTCATTTCTGTCAGGCAGTCTTACTTCTATTTTCATATCTTATATAGTCTATGGTTTCAAATAACTATATAAAATAGAACATCTACAAATGTGAAAAACTCATGACATTGGTTTTCCTGAATGACTTAGTTCATATAATGTCATGATCTCCCATTGCATTCATTTACATGGAAATGCCTCACCTTCACCATCCTTTATGGATAGACCTTACTGTGTTGTGCATTTATTTCACATTTTTTTCATTGTTGAGCAGCTGGTGGACAGCTAGCCCAATTCTGTAACGTGGCTATCCGAATAGTGGTACAATACATCTGATTTAAAAAACGTCTCTAGAAATCCACCTCAGATGTGAGGAGACTGAGGTGTGCAGAGGTCAAATGGCTTATGCAGATACATAGCAAGGAAGGAGGCTGAGCTTATGGGACTTAATGACATTTGGATATTGCATTTGTAGAAACACTTCTTTATGAGGCAGTGGTGGCACACTCCTTTAATCCCAGCACTCGGGAGGTAGAGGCAGGTGGATCTTTGTGAGTTCGAGACCAACCTAGTCTATAAGAGCTAGTTCCAGGACAGCCTCCAAAGCCACAAAGAAACCATGTCTTGAAAAACCAAAAAAACAACGGTGGATCTTTGTGAGTTCGAGAAAAAAAAAAACAAAAAAAAAAAAAAAAAAAAACCAAAAAAAAAAAAAAAAAAAACCCACTTCTTTATGGAGGGATAGCTTTTCATTTGTCTCTTTAATTTCTTTTTATTAATTTAATGTTTTTAAGAATTTCTTTTTTTATAAATTTTATTTAAATTAGAAACAATCTTATTTTACATATCAATCTCAGTTCCCTCTCCCTCTCCTCCTCCCATGCCCCCCACCAATCCCACCATTCCATCCACCATCCACTCCCCAGGGAGGGTGAGACCTTCCATGAGGGATCATCAAAACCTGTCAAGTCATTTGGGGCAGGGTCTAGGCCCTCCCCTGTGTATCTAGGCTAAGAGAGTCTCCCTCCATGGGGAATGGGCTCCCGAAGTCTGTTTGTGCACTAGGGATACATCGTGGTTCCACTGCCAGAGGCCCCATAGACTGCCCAGTGCTCCTAGCTAACACCCTCGTTCAGGGGCCTGGTTTGGTGCTATGTTGTTTCCCCAGCTGTCAGACTGGGGTCCATGAGTTCCCACTTGCTCAGGTCAGCTGTTTCTATGGGTTTCCCCAGCCTGGTCTTGACCCCTTTGATCATCACTCTTCCCTCTCTACAACTGGATTCCAGGAGTTCAGCTCATTTCTTAGCTGTGAGCCTCTGCTTCTGCTTCCATCAGCTACTGGATGAAGGCTCTAGGATGGCATTTAAGGTGGTCATCATTCTCATTATAGGGGGAGGCATTTAAGGTAGGTAGCCTCTCTACTATTGCTTAGAATCCTAGTTGGGGTCATGCTTATGAATCTCTGTACAATTCCCTAGTGCCAGATTTCTCTTTAAACCTATAATGACTCCCGCTATTGCTGTGTCTCTCTTCTTGGTCTCCTCTATTCATCTCCCAACTTCATCTTCCTGCTCCCCCGTGTTCTCTTCCCCCCTCTCTCCCCGCTCCTCTTCCTCCCCCCTCTCTATCCTTTCTCCCCTCCCCCATGCTCCCAATTGTTCAGGAGCTCTCATCCCTTTTCCCTTCACCATGGGGCCATGCATGTCTCTCTTAGGGTCCTCCTTGTTTCCTAGCTTCTCTGGAGGTGTGGATTGTAGCCTGGTAATCTCTTTGTCTATGTTTAAAATCCATATATGAGTGAATACATACCATGTTTGTCTTTTTGTGACTGGGTTACCTCACTCAGGATGGTTTCTTCTAGTTCCATCCATTTGCCTTCGAATTTCAAGAATTTCAGAGGACTATGTTCATATCATCCAGCTCCTGCTGTCTTCCCTAACTCCACCTCAAATTCATGACCTTTCTTTTATTATTGCTACACATGCACACACACAAATGCAGCCTACTGAGTCCATTTAGTATTGCTCATACGTGCATGTGTTTGTGGCTGACCACTTGGAATTGGCTAGCCCACCAAGGGGCCCATCCTTGAAGAGGACTGAGTCTCCCTCTCTCAACAGCCATTAATTGCCGGAAGTTGTTTATCTAGGGCCTGGGTCTCATGAAATTTCTCCCATCCATGTTGGCATGGTCTTACTTAGGCAACCATATTGCTGAGATTCTGGGATTATAAGTTCCCTGTCATCTATAGAAGTAGCAGATGTCCTGGCCTCTGGTTCTTATAGTCTTTCCCACTCCTCTTACATGGTATTCTCTGAGCCTTAGGTATAGGGATTGTGTTGTGTGTTGTGGATGCATCAATTACGTTGTCTATAGTACTGGATTTTATTAAGATAGTTTTTGTTGTTGTTT